CGCCTTGAGCTACCACATTGCCGATGGCGGCCTTAATGTCGATGAACACATCGCGTTCACTCGCTGGCCCCATGACGTCAATAAGACCAGCGATTAATACCGGCAGCAATTCGCCAGCATTATCATGCATTTCACCAGCACGGTGGCGTACAACAAGGGCGCCCATTTCACCAAGCAAAGCCGTAATCACTTCCATGCAGTCAGATAGCTCGAGTAGACTAGATAGAGTTTCTCTATCGCCGTGTATTGTCGGTAACGCGGCCCTAGCGGTAGTTGACCGCTGTACACTGGTCGTAAGATCTGAGGACCGCTAAATGCTGGGCAGACGCCGTGCGACTTGTTGGTCTCGATGGAGGAGCTACTAACGCGGCGGGTGGTCGTGTAGGCGAAGTAGCAATCGAACGTCCATGAAGGGGCTGCAGCCCGATATCGCCAAAGAAACAACGGGGAAGTTGCTGATCGTGTTACCGTAGGTTTACTTGAGGCTCGCCAAGCGTAGTTGAAGCTCTCACCCTCAGCGCTTCGTTTTTGCCCTACGCCGAGCTATGTAGCTCCATGTTATCCTAAGACCCTCCTGCTCAAACTGCAGCGCAATTTGCACAAGAATCTTATCCTCCCAATCTTGGAAGCTTGTGCACATGACGAAATTAAAAGTATGTATCTTAGGCCGTGTTCGGTTTGCAGGGGCAAATCCAGCTTGTTTGAAAATAAGCTAGAGCTGTAGAACAGTCGTTTTGTTAAGTAAAATAAAGATAAAAATAAGTGATCGTGTTCCATCAGAAAAAGGCTGGATTTGAAGGCGCAAAGGAGGACGAATCAAAATTCAACCCAGAGCTGAATTTTGAAACCAGTCGTTTGGAGCTATCCTGCTGGATGTCATTTTTTGTGTTTCTTAGCGGATTAAAGCTGGTTGAGACATTCCAACTCTTTAACACCTTGCTTACGAACGTCGTATAAGACGACATATTATTTTTGTTACGTCGTATATTACGACATTGCACGAAGGTCATTAGCAAATGGCTCGGAAAAGTTTTTTCAATACTTTAATCAAGTTACCACAAAAATATAATCTGCGAGAGGTCATTTTGCTACAAGTCAAAACCAGGCCAGGGGAAGGGGATCAGCCACGTCGTGAACAGCCACTCATTCGACATTTTGCTGGATGGTGCGCATACGGAATAGTCGACGCGAGAAGCCCGCCGCGCCGGCTGCCGCTACACACGATATTGACTTTGGCCACTTATGGCGGCAGCTTCGGGCGGCGGGGTGGAAGTCCAAGCGTCCGAGTGGCCTCCAGACTGAGTGGAGCTACTCGAGTCCTGACAACACGCACGTCTTCGTGGGGGAGAAATCAGTCGTGGACTACGCGTTCGACAGTGGCTTGCTGGAAGAGGCGGATGCTGATGCTCAAGTCCGAGATGAAGAAGGTGGGGAACTAGACCAAGCAGGAGCTGGTAGTAGTGGTGAAGAGCAACAACACGAGGGGGAAGACGTCGTTCGGCCTTCCCAGATCGACACGAGTGTCCTTCTTTCGCAGCATACCATTGATCGAATGTTCGGCACCCCAAGTGATGATGACATCGAGCTGTCGCAGACTGCAGTGAGCAGAGCATTCAATCTATCCTCAGAAAATCTACAAGACGGGCGGTGCCCGCGAGGCCGCTGCTGGACTGCATTTACTTTCGGAGGCTTTCTGGATTAGAGAGCGAGGGTGATGTAGACGAAGAAGAAGCCGCTGCGTCTCAACCTCGACGACGGACACTTACGCCGTTATCAGGCAAAGAGGACGTGAATGTTTTGCTGGATGGGGAGAAGCCGAGTGACTACGAGAACTACAGCTCGGGTGATAGCGACGACGACGGCATGAGTGATATTAACAGCGATTCCGGAGCCGGGATGTCCGAGGAAGATGACGACGTCCTGTCCCGACAGTGACGCAGTTGAAATGGACAAGGCTTTCATTGCGGCACTACAGGTGGGCAATAACGCACTTAGCAGAACCGCTGCAACGGAGAGAGAGCAGACACTACGAGGAATGCAGTGGACGCCAGTGTCTTCGGAGTACGAGACAGATGCTGCTGCGTACCCTGGACTGGGCACCGAAGAAACAAGGCCTGTGCCCGACCTGCTGCAATTATGGAGATCGCCAATCCTCACCTTCTTTTATTTCATGCCGAAATCTCTGTGGGTTTCTATCGCGGCTGAAACGAACCGATATGGTCTACAGCAAGCTGGCAAGCGCGCCCGTAACATTCAGGCACGGCAGACTGACCTTCGGCGTGAAACTATCAAGCAGATTACACGTCGTTTGAAGGCTAAGGCAGCATACTCTACACACGAGATTCTTCACGTTGTTGGACTCCTCGTTGCACGGATGCTCTGCCCTCAAAAGAAACGATTTGGTGCGCACTGGAGTATGGTGGAAGACGGTGCTGTTCCCGCCGGTCTTTTCGAGCGGTTCATGACGCGTGACAGGTGCCAGAGTATCATGCGAGACTTGCACTTCGTAGACAACACGATTGACCACGGTAACGATAAACTCTGGAAACTTCGCCCCGTTGTTGACAAGGTCCAAGAGCGCTTTTTGCTGGGGTGGTCTCTTTCTGCTATTTTTTCGTTTGATGAGGGTATACTGCCGTCCACGTCGAAGCGGAACACGACCCGGATGTTCATGGCCGACAAGCCTCACCGCTACGGGTCCAAACTATTTATGGTCTGTGACGCGCAGACGGCATACTGCCACAGGTACGTTTAAAATTTGTATGTTGTAACTATCTACTTTGTGTTTGCCTGACAACAGTGAATGTCGTAACTATCTAGGTTCGAAGTTTATGTGGGTAAGCGTGCATCTGCTGGTGGACCTGACACCTCAGTTGACTTTAAGACTGGAGCTGCAGCCGTGGTCCGGAATTTGAAGGTTGTTCTCGCCCAGTCTCGTCACAAGTGGCATACCGTCGTAATCGATCGCTACTACTCGTCCGTGCTCCTTGCGATTGAGCTCCTGAGTATGAAGGTGTATGTTATTGGCACGATCATGACTAACCGGCTTGGATTCAACCCGAATCTCAGGGCTACGAGCAAGACACGCCCAGTGAGCATACCCCACGGTACATTCTCGTTCTCTCGCTCTATCGCCATCCCGACCATGATTTCCTGTGTTTGGTGGGACCGGAAGCCCGTCTATTATCTCTGTACGGGCTCCATTATGGCGGCGTCGAAAATTGAGCGAAAAATAAAACGTATCGGTGCGGTTCGAGTGCCGTGCCCCTCTGCTGTAAATGACTACCAGAACTGGATGAGCGGAGTTGATGTCCACGATCAACTCCGTCTCCAGTCGTATTCACTGCAAATGTCGACGAGGTTCACGAAATATTATAAGAGCCTATTCTTAGGTTTGCTGGACATGGTCATGGTAAATGCGTATCTTACGCACAAAGAGGGGGCCAAGATCAAGGGGATGGCTGCTATGAAGCGCTCAGAGTGGTTTTGCGTCCTTCAAAATCAACTTCTCTAACTCAAGCCGAAGATTTTGCTGGAGTGGAGGGCACACCGCCTCCTGCGAGCCAAAGCGCCAGCGCACCCCAGTACGCTTCCCGCACGCGCTGCAGCAGTCTGAAGATTGGGTTACTCGTTACTGGGGGTCCAGAAACGCTGGGCAGAGATCGTGCAAAGGCTGCGCGCTCTTGCTGACTGGAAAAGAAGAAGTTCTTTCGCACCACCGTTCTTTTGCGAACGCTGCTCCGTTGATAATGCGAAATGCTGGTTGTGCAACCGTATTCGACGGGAATACAAGGGCGTTGCGAAGACATGCTATGATATCTGGCATGATGACTTCGACGCCGGGCAAGCTATCCCACCAAACTTAGGGAAGCGCATTGTGCTCCGTCGGCCCGGCCAGAAAGCTGGCCAAAGAAAGAAGACGCGACGGGAACTTCGACTTGGGCACGATGCTGGCAGCGACGACGGCAACGGTGGTGACAACGAGAATGGTAGTGATGACGAGTGAGCTTGGTTGCGTGTCAGTTGATTAGTGATTTGTTTCAAATACACAGCTTCTTGAACCATCGTACCTTCGTCCTTGCGTTTCTTGATTTAAGTGGACTGCCTGTGAAGCAATTTAGCCATCTGTTGACTGCACTTGCAGTCAGTTACGACATTGAGCAGGCAATACTGTCGCTGAATCCCGTCAGAGTTACGACATTGAAAGAAAAACCTGTTGAAAATTAATGCACCTAACCTCACGTCAAAAAGTGCACCCATACAAATACGTAGTAACATTGATATACCGTATCTTACGACATGCGCTTACGCGTTCTGGGCAAGTACCGTCCGGACGCAAGGTGTTAATAACAATTACAGCTGGTTTTAGCTTAGATCGAACACGGCCTTATATTTTGAATGGTCTTCGTGACGACCAGTAATGCACTAAACTTGATATGAGTATACTAAGTGTGCGGCGCTGAAGACCCCACATTTATCGGCGGCAGTAGTTCGTAAGATAATAACAGAGATCGGAAACCCACGTCTATTACGTAGAAAATAAAACCAAGAGAATGTATTCACGTCTTATGTCATGATAACCAGGTGATGTTGAGGATATGGCACAGTAAACTACCGGTCTATTCATAATATAACCGAGAAAAGGCCATTGAGTACGCCAAGCCTTTTCTAATTGCAGTCTATTGGTAGAAACAAAGCTCGCTAAGTGAAAACATATCTAAAGCTTCAAGGGCGATTTTTTCGCCTTTTAGAAGGGTAGCTTACACCTTCTTTTGCAAAATGCCTTTTAAGTTAACCCTTTCGCGATACAAGGGCGTATTTTTCTTAATGAAAGGCCGTTGCTGGCAGCACGATTTTTTAAATTTGATAAAACACGCGGTATTTGAGTTTTAATGACACCCACACTATCCATTCCCAATTGATATCGTTGAGCGGGAAATGTATCTACCGAGAGCACAACCGCCGTCAGTAGAATCTCTGCTGAACGTCAGACTAGTTTCCTAGCTTTCATGCACAGCCGTGTAGTTGTAGTAGACCTTGTTTTCATATTCGGAATCGCAGAAGGGGAAATCCGCGCCATTGTCAGTTGGGAAAAAGAGCTCCTTGCCGGTAGTGTAGGTGACGTAGCAGCCGAGCACCAAGCAAACAAACAGCACAATACTACCGGCAGCCTTCTCGTACATCGAAACTCGCTCCCAGGCCTTCTTGAAGTAGAAAACAATCGGTAGGAGAATGCAGTTCGTAGTGATGCAGAAGGCGCCAATAAAATCCGAGAAGTGATCCTTGAATACAATCGCAACCATTACCAAAATGACAACGATGATAATTCGAAGTGCGGCATATTTGAATACGTTTGAGCCCGTGTACTCGGCAGCATCAGCTTCTTTATCGTCCTTGTGCACACGCTCTGAGTCAGCCAGTGACACAAATGATATTTTAGAGCTGCGGCGGGGTGGGCGGTTGACGCTGACATTACAGGGATCAGATTGCTTCGACAGCAGCTCAGCGGGCGTGGCCGACTCCTCGAAGCCAACTACATTTTCGATCTCCAAGTCCGTCTTCTTGTGCATGCCCAGCAGCAGACGCTCAGCAATGTAGAAGGCGGGGTTCAAAATAACCGAGAATGCTATAATAATGTGGAGCTGCATGAACAAATAAGCCATTATCACGACACCCCATCTCGGTTTAAAGCCCAAAGACGTCATTCCGGTGGCACTGTCTGGGTAGATCGTAAAGAGAAGGTTGCCCGAGATCTGGCAGCCTATCGCGGAGTAGGTAGTACTGGACAGGATCAAGAAGAGACACGATACGAAAATCACAGTGATACCCACAATTCGAGGCATGCGACTCGGATCACTATGCTGACGTTGCAGGTCGGGAATAATGATCCCAGCGCCGTAGGCGAGCGACAAATTTCCGAACATGTTTGCCACCTGCTCAAACTTTAGCTCCGGGAACGGCACGCTCGGGTGTCCGCGCATACCGTACATGACAACCGAGACGCCGATGATGTCAGCCAGGATTGTTCCAAAGCAACCGGCGAAAGCAGCACCCGAACCTCCTTCAATGTAGGAACCAGACACACGGGTAGCACCATGAGTGCCATGAAAACAGTCCAGGTGTTTTGGCTCCACGCGCCCGGAAACAGACCATCAAGCAATTGTCCACCGAGGATCAAGAAGACACACGGAACCAGGAGACAGGAGCCCATCTGAGAGAGGACGCACAAGTAACGGCATGCTCCATTCACCAAGGTCACCAAACGTGTTGACGGACCTAGGCGCTAGCAGCATGACTTTGGACATCGTGATGGACGAGTACGTGTTGGCAAACGCCATGAAGGCCAAGGCAAAACATGCCAAAGTTGGGCCGGCGCGAGCGAAGTTGCCGGGCATACCAAGCGTTCCAATGCCGTAGATGCAGCAGAAGAGATTAAAACATGTCTTGAAGTCTTCACGACTGAGAAACGGACCCTTCGCCATGACTGACCGAGTGACAATAGGAAGGGTGAGTTGAAGACGGCGGAATTGAGGATGACGAAAAGCATCATGGTAGTACATGTACTTCAACGCTGTGGAAACACAGGGTTCAACGTGTGCGGTGTCTTTAGCTTGAAATAAATGTGTTTGAGCCGGGCGTTGTGGGCTTCAACATCCGCTCCGTATTTGGCGGCCTAAATTACAGTGAAGCTGCTTATACGGCTCTATGGACACATCTTCATATCATGAGCTGGTAACAGATCCTGAAAAACACGCCAAGCATGCCAAGATCCATCTGCATGCGCAGGCATGTCCGCTGTTATTTTTTTTTTCAAAATCATGTCCCTTTAGGGAATCCTGAGAAATTGAAAAGGGGAGTGACGATTATTCTGATTTTTTGTATGTGCACCACTTTTTTCACATCCCACGTAGTTGCATGTAGATTTTCTGCATGCGAATTTAAATTGAGACTGCTCTTGTACTTAATGACGAAAGCGACATTCTTCCACTGTCAGTCCCCCCATTTATGGTTGCTGGATTTATAAAATAAAGAGCGGTGTAATTACGATAATGCCAGCTCATAAAACCCCGATGATTTACTGTAATGTGGACTGAAATGCACTTTTGAACTTTCAATTAGGGCACCGATGCTGCCTTTTCTCCCAACTGCGCCCGTTACTGTGTAAGCAACTTACCAACGCAAACATTAGGCATTTGCAACCAAATATCATATGGTATTTTGATAGTTAAAGTACTTTTTTCGATATTAAATATAAAAAGTAGCTCAACATTTTAAAAGCTAACATGATATTTTACTATTAACTTAAAATGTTAAACATGTTATTTATTAGACGATATTTTAAGAAATGTCCGACTTGAGTACGTTTCTTGGCACCTAACCCTTTTGCTGAGTGCACCGATCTAAAACAGCAGTCGTGATGGCAGGTTCAGAACTGACGAGTATTTGCTCTAGTTTTTCACTGTGGCACAGACAGTGGGAAACCGCAAACGGTTTTAGTTGTTTGAAGTCGATTAAGCGAAATCAAGGTATTTGTTCTTGTTCTCTAGCGATAGCCTCGTCCACATCGTGCGTCGAATAAACCTGTAGCCTGTGACGCTAGATTAATGCGCTCAGCAGTGCCAACACACCACACCAACCTTAACCGTCACTCTCACAATTGTCCCGGACTCCATCTCCCTCACTGTTGACTTTTAATAATATCATTTTGTCTCTGAAGAAAATTTAGGTAGTATTTTTTACATTAACTGGTTTACCAGATGATATTATCACTTTACTGATTTTGAAGTTGCCATTAACCCTGCCTTTGTGGACACTTCGATTACTATTTATAGTATGCAGTTGAACTTAGACAAACATATAGGGCCGCTCTTAACAAACATCATGGAGCATGACCCCAGGGATAGTTAACCCCTTGCCCGCGGAGGGTGTGAAAACCTTCTTATGCTGTTCGGAACAGCATAAGAATATCTTATTTACACTATGCCTCTAAATCCGCAAACGCACTTCTTCGTCCCTTCCCGTAAGTCGAACGCATCTGATTTGTCCACGTGTTCAAATGAGTGAATGTGATTAGCTCATAGAACACATGGCTTGAAGAATGTATGGTACCTCGGACAAGGACAAGACTCCAAATTTTGGAATATATGGCAAAAATCGGTTCCCCCCGCCGCTCACCCTCAAAGCCAGTCATTTGCGATTTTCGTCGGGTGGATAACAAGTGACATGAAGTTTAACGCGATTTGGCCGTTGCTCAGGAAGGAGAAATGGACGTGGAAAGCAGGGACTGGTATTCAAATACAGTACGTGCATCTGCTGGTACTGGCACGTATCAGGGCTAACGAAGTCATTTTGCTGTCTATCGCTAGCCACAACTACGTGAAACCAGGACGCAAAGTGCGAGGTGGGAAGCAAGGCGTCGATTACTTCAACGGAGAAGACGCATTGTTAGGTTATGTGCGATCCGACAAAGAGCTCTGCGCGAGACTTCACATCTCGAGCGTTATCGTCCGGCCAAAAGGGCGTGCAAGTACGTCTACAACTACGCTGTATGCATATGCACTGATTTATTGCTAACTGTTGTTGTTGACACTAGCTGTGGGGCCTTCTGACGACAAAATTCCGCCTGGGCACTACCGTGGCCAATCAACGTTAGGAAAGGCGCCTGCCAAAAAGAGTGTGATGCCAGTTGTACCCGCAAAGCGTCTTGCTGACGCGTCGTCTAAGAAGCCGGCGAAGAAGAAGAAGACTAAGAAGCAGCTAACTGAAGAAGCGAGTGCTCGTCGCCGGGAGATGGCCGCTTTTGACAAGGTTTGGGGCCACCAAACTAGCTCGGGTGCGTGTATATTTGAGGCTTTTAATGTGTGCGGAACCTATCCAGTTATGATGCTATGAACGTGAAGCAAGTGATAGAAGCCCTGTGAGACCACCTGGATCTTCTGAGTGCAGTGCAGAGACTCAGGTAATGCGGACACGAACCCCCCCCCGGTCGAGACTAGTGCGGAAGCGGAAGGCAATGAAGACGCGGCTAATACTGATACGGACCCTATTGCTAATGGCACAACTGAAGAGACCAGAAATGCTGTTGTAACGATCAGTGATGAAATCGAGTCGCAAAGCAAGGAGGACGACAGAGTGGAGGGTATTGACGACTCAGCAGACGAAGGCTACAGTCCTGCCAACGACAAGGAAAGCGACGATGAGGACGATGTCGGGACTTATGAAGAGCAAAGAGAAAGAGTGGAGCTGCAAGGAGATATTGAAGAGCCCAACCAACTTCTCCGCTCTTCTGGTGGCAATGCACCGCTTCGATTCGACTACGTGGACACCTTGGACCCGAATATTGCCAACGCAGCTGGTCAAACGGAGCTGGATACGGATGGTGAAGGTGACGAGGACACGGCAGAAGCTGACTTTGATGCCGACAGCGAGAGTGACGCGAGTGACGCAGAAATATGCAAGTCTGACATGCTACAGCACGATATTCGACGCGTTCCAGAGTTGATGAATAATGCAGAGCGAGATCGGTTACATCTTCGCATTCAAGGTAGGTCACGTTTATCGTTAGGTTGACATGAATTTCATATAACACGTTTGTTATGTTGAAAGAATCATTGGAGGTGTACACGGATGAGCAACTGGATCAAATGAAGATCGAGGTCTGGAATGTGTTGCCCGACAACGTCAAAGCCGAAGTCGTGGACGATACAGACGTTGACACGATGTATGCAAGGTACTGCGGGCCTTCGCAAGATATCATTGCCGCATCAAAGTCACCGCTCAAGCTCTTCTACTACTACTTGCCAAAATCTTTCTGGCGACAAGTAGCAAGTCAAACTAACATCTACTGGAAGCAAACGCTAGTGTCAAGACTGCAGCAAGCTGAGGAAAAAGAAGCCACGATCACAAAGCGCCCACCACGTAGTAGAGCTGCGTTACTGAGGAAAATTCAGAAATTTCGAAAGGTTTCCCCACACGAAGTTGTACATTGGATTGGCTTGATGCTTAATCATGCCTTACGGCCATGTAAGCGCATGGATGAACATTGGTACAAGGACGATATCGGGGTGCTGCCAGCTGGGAGTTTGGCCGTGTAATGTCACGTGACCGTTTCCGTGAAATCACAAGATTTCTTCACTTCACAGACAACAAGGACCCTGCCGGAGTCAAGGACCAAGCTTGGAAAATCCGATCGGTGCTATCGGTACTGGAGAAGACTTTCAAGGATGGATACGTGCTGAGATCTCGTGTGGCAGTTGATGAGGGAATCCTTCCCTCTCACAACCGGCGAAACCTCACGAGAACTTTCATGAAGGATAAACCACACCACTGGGGCTCGAAGTACGTGATGACTTACTGCGCGGAGACTGGTTACTGCAAGAGGTTGGTATGCGGACAAGAACAACACAAGGAGAAAGTGATAAGCTGACACGTAAATCATTGTGCTCTGTGTTGTGCTCAGAGTCGAGTTAGACATTGGAAGAGCTAACGATGCAGAAGGATCTCAATCTATGGACACCAAGAATGGCCCCGCAGCGGTTATCCGCAATATCGCGTGCGTATTTCGTGGGCTACCATATGAAGGGTGTCGTCTGGTCGTTGGAGACCGCTACTACACCGCTATAGCTTTGGCGCAGCAGCTACGAACTATGGGGTTCAACTACCTCGGGACAATGAACATCAAGCGAAAAGGCTGGTGTGATGCGTTGACCTATCCTAAGAAGAAACGGCAAGCACGGACACCACGGGGGACGTTCCGGATGGCCGTAGCAAAGTCCAACCCCGGACTTATCACTGTTATGTGGGCCGACAATACAATCGTATACTTCCTAGCTTCCTAAGTGACCGCGGAGTCGACGACGGTACGTCGGCAAGAACAGAGTGGCCCAAGTGATGTACCATTTTCAGGCCTTGTTGCAGAATACCAGCGTTACATGATCGACATGATCAGCTACGACTTCAAGCTTACCGATGCAGATGGCGATAAGGTATGGAGATGTGCTGATGTGGAGTGGATATTTTGACTAACCTCTGCTGTTCGGACTTACAGGTTCCGTAAATACTACAAAGGTCTCTTCTTAGGGCTTGTTGACATGGCTTTAGTGAGCGCGTACATTGTCTATCGCCATCGGTGGGAGAGAACTAAGCCAAAGAAGAATTCGCACTTCGACTTTCTGTCACTGTTGCACAAAGAGCTCATTGAAGAGAGCGAAGATAGCTTCACGCAAACGCGAGTCCCTCTGGGAGAGAGCGACCCGGCAGGCCAACCATCCACGATGCAAGGCCAGCATAAACTCATTCAGACGTCGGATACGCGGGTGAATAACGGTGCTCAACGCCTACGCCAGCGTCAATGCAAGGTGTGCTCTGTGTATAAACCGCAGGAAAAAGAACTAGGGGGGACTTCAAGCTACTATTGCGCAACGTGCTCGCAGAACCGCCGAGGGCTAGTGACGCTGTGCAACAGCGTCCGTGGCCACCCCAA